TGTATGCTTTGGTATATATGGTTGTGACTATTTTCTTCCACTATTTGATCTGAGGAAGTGGGTCTGGCCCACGAAAGCTCATCAACTAATAAACCATCTTGTTAGTCTTTAAAGTGCTACATAGTCCTGTATATTGAAACAGAGCACTCTTCCTTCGACTTCCCTTACTCCTTGTACAGTGAGGGTTACAGGAGTCAGAGCAATATAAATGCTGTGTAGACACTCCCAATTTCTAAATAAGCTACGCAATTGAGGCAACTCAACTTGCGTAGCTTATTTCGAGTTAAGCCCTGCTATGTAGAAGCACCCTGAGTCAATCCCAGATTTCTTCTTTTTCCTCCCTGAGCAGATAGGTCACTTACTTTGAGTGTAGGTCTCCTTGTTATCTTATATTGAATCAGAGGTGAAAATAAGCGGGTACACCCTGGTGCACAGCTCTGCCAAAGAGCTATTTTAAGAGATGGCAGGGTCCCAGGCTGCAATAGGACAGTAACTGTAAGAAATTTTAAGTAACATTCACCGCTGTATTGAATTGTCCTCACATATCACAGCTTTTTTGATGCACCACATTATTTCAAGGGACTTTCCAGATTACGTCTGATCTTCCCTAGTAGTGGCATAGTTTGCCTAAAGGGGAAATGGCAGCTGAAAAAGTATGAGAGGGGCAGGCAGGCAGTTGCAGTGAAGAAAAATGGGAGATGGACAGACTGAATCAGCCCTAGGGAGGCTGTACTGCTGGCTTAGCAGGTATGTCAGTATGGCAAAAACACTAGTAGGAAAAACTGGATATACTGGCTCAGTTTGTGCCCTGATTGCTCCATAATTCGGTTATCTGTTGTTGGGCTAGCAGCACTATAGTTAAGATTACATAACAGTGTTAATTCTGATCGCCTTTTTTTTTCATTCATTCCTAACTTTCACAAAATTCACCTTTTTAACTAAAAATCTCCAAAGTTGGTCCAAAAGTTTCATTTGTTTGTTTTTAAATTGAGCAACACGGGCTCATCCATGTCCTTTTTTAGAACGGGAAAATGGAAGTATACACTTTCCCATTCTAAATCAATTCTTGGGGGTTTTAACCACTTAATTGCCAGAATGGCTGGAAATAGAATATCAGCTCTTTGTTTTGAGATTGCATGTACAACATTAAGCATTGATCCTGCAAACTCTTGTGTGCACATATTTCTTCATGTTTAGCAGTACAATTAAGCACATGCATAAGTATTTGACCTTTTAAGGTGGTATTTTTTTGCTTTTAAGTAAATCATTCAGCCTTAACCTTTTTTTAAAAATGAACATACCTATTTACACATCTCAGGAAGTTCCAATATCCATGTCATAGTCTCAGGGCCACTGCAACTCTACTCCTCTCCCCCTGCATGTTTCATTAAGGGCACCCACTTCATGCTTTTTTTTCCCCAGAGGTCACCTCACTTGGGTGGAGACCAGCATCTCTCTCCCTCTTGACTGAGGATTTTAAGGCTGGGTCTTACATTGAATTCCCCAGCAAGACAGACTGCCTAAAAAGGTCAGCACCTGAATTGTTCATTCTCTCTCTCTCTCTCTCTCTCTCTCTCTCTCGTCTATGCCCAATGTTTTGCCTTTAGTTAATAAGTTACCACACAGCACTTTTGATGCCAGCACATGTAAAAGCACTATAGGCAAAATACAACAATAATAAAATAGTCACAGAGAAGTGGCCATGTTAGTCTGATCTTGGTAAAACAAAAAAGCAGTCATGTAGCACTTTAAAGACTAACAAAATAGTTTATTAGGTGATCTGAAGAAGTGGGTCTGCCCCCAGAAAGCTCATCACCTAACTATTTTGTTAGTCTTTAAAGTACTACATAACTGCTTTTTTGTAATAATAAAATAAGTCAGGCAAATACTAGAAAGCATAGGAGAGTTCACCTCCAGCTCCAATTTACAGCTTTGGGAGATTTTAATCCTTCAAACCCCACAACTGGGGTTTCCTCCATGATTGCAAGTTCGCATAGGTCTTAGATCCAGAGCCAGACCAAAAGCTGGGTAGAGTAGCTATTTCTTTGTACAATTTTTTATCGTGGCTTTATGTAACAGGTAATCAACCGACAATGACCGTCTCCTCAGGGCATCTCTTCAAAAGACTGTGTTTTTGCATAACCTTCACTGGGGAATTTGCATTAATCTCTCCCCCTAGGGATTTACCAGGAATTCACTTAACACTTACTGTCCCAAAAGTTCATACTTGTCTGCTGTGGCTCTAAAGCTTGTCTCTCTCCCCAACAGAAGTTGGTCCAACAAAAGATATTACCTCACCCACCTTGTGTCTCTCATACTTATTTGGCACATTTTCAGTACAGCCATTTGAACTCCTTCACACTTCCCAGGTCTTGCATCTACCACATCTCTTCCCTCAGGGAAATTGCACACAATTCTGGCCCACCTTAATACAACACAATAAGCTCTTTTCATATCTGTCACACAGTGACAACATCAAAAACCAAAAGGACTTCATTTTCATAGCTATTAGAATCCTGCATAAACAGGATTATGCACAGCCCAATAATGTCATAGTTAAAGAACTGCCCAACATTTTGTATTTTAAAATGTGTTTCTGCATGTTTACTATTTTTAAGAGTCTGTTCTTAAAAACTTGGGAAGAAAAGTGTGAAACTTTTCTGGAAATTGTATAAACTCCCTCCTTTTCTTTAAAAACAAATAACAAAGAAAATTATTAGCCTGATTTATTTTCTTTGCTTACTAGCAGATTTACCCAGCATTCCTTGGGTCCTTGACTCAGATATTTTTTTCTTCTTTTAAAATATATATGCTTTATTGAAATGACTGTATTTCAGTGTTATTTTTATTAAGTTAATTTTAGTAAAGCTTTTAAATAGGAATTCCATCAAGTAGTGGCAATATCATAGCTAATGAGGTTAATCCAAGGCATGATTACAGCTAACTGAAAACTTTTCTTCATCACCACACACTCTTATCGTTCACTTTGTTTTAACAAAAAAAGAGCTATAGTCAATTTGGTATTCAATAACATTGTCTTCTAGTTTCCAAACCTGAAGCATTGATTTGGCTGTGCGAAAACAGAGTACTACTCCAAATCTCTCCATTTTATCTCTTTTCTTTAAAGTTTATTGAGAAGTAATCATATTCCAGGTTCATCCAATTTTTCTGGCTCATCTTGGTTTAGTCTGTTTCAACATTTGCTTAGTTATGTCCATTTTAAGGACTATATGGCTGCGTCTACACTGGTATGATTTTGCGCAAAAGCAGCCACTTTTGCGCAAAATCTGCCGCTTTTGCGCAAAATCTTGCTGCCTGTCTACACTGTCCGCGAGTATTTGCACAAGAACACTGACTTTGTAATATACAAAATCAGTAGTTCTTGCACAAATACTCTGACGCTCACGCTCAGGGATAAGCCCTCTTGCGCAAGTATTCTTGCACAAGAGGGCCAGTATAGACAGCAACGTTAATTTCTTGCGCAAGAAAGCCCGATGGCTAAAATGGCCATCGGAGTTTTCTTGCACAAGAGAGCATCTACACTGGCACAGATGCTTTTGCACAAAAGCAAATCTTTTGCGCAAAGGCATATGCCAGTATAGACGCTCTCTTGCGCAAATACTTTTAACGGAAAAACTTCTCCGTTAAAAGTATTTGCGCAAAATCATGCCAGTGTATGATTACATCAGTTAAAAGGAGTTGTGAGAGGCTCCCAAAGTTAGTGTGGGGGGAGGACAGCTGCAGTTCTACTACTCTTCTGTGCAGCAGCTGCTGGCAGTGGTGCTGCCTTCAGAGCTGGGTAGCTAGAGAGAGGTGGCTGCTGAGTGGGAGCATATGGTATTGCCACCTTTACTTCTGCTCTGCTGCCGTCAGAGCTGGACCCTTGGCCAGCAGCCACCTCTCTCTGGACACCCACCTCTGTAGGCCGGAAGGCTGCCCTACATATGTTGCAACACCCCTGTAACTCTTTTTTGGGTCAGAACACACGCACGCACCCATTTGAGAAAAACTGGCTGGTCTCCCCCAGTGAAAGCTGTACAGCATAGGGTAAAAGCACTAAATTTTATAGTGGTGACTTTGTTAGGGTTCTATCCATGGGCCCCATTCTACACTACAAACTTTGATGGATGTAATTTACAAGGCATCATTAATGTACTGCTGATGCAGGACACACTTGGGGAATGTCTACACTATAGAAAAGAGCAACCCTTTGGAGGGTGAGCTTCTAGCGCTTGATTTAGCATGTCTAATGTAAACCCCCTCAATAAAATGTGGATGGAAACACCCCTCCCCGCCAGCATCTGATACCCCTTCTGTGAGGAGCAAGGAAAGCCAAGGGGAAGGTTTGCTCTGGTGGGCCTCCCGCAGTGTGGACACGGATTTAAGGTAAGACAACTCCAGCCACGCAATTCATGTAGCTGGAGTTGCCTATCTTATGTCGACCTTCCCCTCCAGTGTAGAACAGGCCTGGGTGCCAGAAGAGCTGGTCGGGTGCCTACAACCCTCGTTGGGGGGAGTCTCTTGCCCGGACTCTGCCCTGTCGCAAACTCCGTGCAAAGTTTCTCTTTCCCCCTCCCCTGCTACGAAGCGCTAGTTCCCAGGCGCCCCCTGCCTGGCTGAGTCCAGGGACTCGAGGCTCAGCCCGCCCCGCCCGGGCGCCGCGCTGCAGCCGCGGGGGTGTTCCCGGGTGAG